ATGAATCCCACTTGATCATGATGTACAATCTTTTTTATGTACTGTTGGATTCTATTTGCCAATATTTTGGTAAGGATTTTTACATCTATGTTCATGAGTGATATTGGTCTGTAATTCTCTTTTTTGGTGGTGTCTTTGCCAGGTTTTGGTATCAGGGTGATGGTGGCTTCATACAATGAGTTTGGGAGTATTCCCTCCTTTTCAATCTTCTGGAAGAGTTTGAGAAGGACTGGTATGAGTTCTTCTTTGTATGTTTGGTAGAATTCCCCAGTGAAGCCGTCCAGTCCTGGACTTCTATTTGTAGGGAGGTTTTTATTTTTTTATTGCTATTTCGATTTCATTTCTAGTGATCGGTTTGTTCAAGTGGTCAGTTTCTTCTTGATTCAGTCTTGGTGGACTGTATGTTTCCAGAAACTTGTTCATCTCCTCTAGGTTATCCATTTTGGTTCCATATAGTTTTTCAAAATATCTGTATGATATCTGTATTTCTATTGTCATTTGTGTAATTTCTCCATTTTCCTTTCTTATTTTGCTTATTTGTGCTCTCTCTTTTTTCTTCTTTGTGAGTTTGGCCAGAGTTTTGTTGACTTTATTTACTCTTTTAAAAAAACAGCTTTTGGTTTGATTGATTTTTTGTCTATTTTTTTAAATCTCTATTTTATTTATTTCCTCCTTGATCTTTATTATTTCCTTCCCTCTGCTGACTTTTGGGGTTTTTTTGTTCTTCTTTTTCTAATTCTGTTAGCTGGTGGGTTAGATTGTTTATTTGAGATTGTTCTCTTTTTGAGGAAGGCCTGTAACGCTATAAACTTCCCTCTTAGCACTGCCTTTGCTGCATCCCATAAATTTTGTGTGGTTGTATTTTCATTTTCATTTGTCTTAAGGTATTTTTTAATTTCAACTTTGATTTTATCATTGACACATTGGTTTTTTAATAGCATGTTGTTTAATGTCCATGTTTTCTTTTTTTTCTCATTTGTTTCTATGTAGTTGATTTCTAGTTTTGTGGCATTGTGGTCAGTAAAGATGTTAGAGATAATTTCTATTGTCTTAAAATTGCTGAGGCTTCTTTTGTGCCCAAGTACGTGATCAATCCTAGAAAATGTTCCATGTGCACTTGAAAAGAATATATATCCTATTTTGGGGGGGTGTAATGCTCTGAAAATATCCACCAACTCTAATTTTTCTATTGTATCATTTAATTTCTCTGTTGTCTTACTTATTTTCTGTCTGGAAGATCTGTCTAGTGATGTTAATGCAGTGTTAAAATCTCTGACAATGACTGTATTCCCATCAATTTCCCCCTTTATCTTTGTTAGTAATTGTTTTATGTACTTAGGTGCTCCTATATTGGGTGCATATATATTAATGATTGTAATATCCTCATCTTGTATTACTCCTTTAATCATTATAAAACGTCCTTCTTTATCTTTCTTTATGGCCTTTGATTTCAAGTCTATTTTGTCTGAAATCAATACTGCTACACCTGCTTTTTTGGCTTTTCCACTAGCATGGAATATCCTTTTCCATCCTTTCATTCTCAATCTATATGTGTCCTTCTTCCTAAAGTGGGTCTCTTGTATGCAGCATATTGAAGGTTCTTGCTTTATTATCCAGTCTACCACTCTATGTCTTTTGATTGGAGAATTTATTCCATTAATATTTACAATAATTAATGACAGATGTGTTGTTTATTGCCATTTTGAACTTATTTTTGCAGTTGACTTGGTATTTCCTTTTTGTTCCTTTCTTCTTCCTTTTGTGGTTTGGTAATTTTCCTTTGTGTTATCTTGGATTTTATTTGTTTTTTGTGACTCACTTGTAAGTTTTTGGCTTGTGGTTACCCTTTTTTAAAGTCTATTAACCCATTACTATAAGTATTTGTATTAAACAGATAGTAATATAATCTCAAACCCATCCTACCGAGAACAAAATATTTAATAAAGAAAGAAAAAAAAAAAAACACTCTATATTTACTTGCTTCCCTCTCCCACTCTTAATGATTTAGATGTCTTCTTTTACAATTTTGTGTTTATTCTATTTGTAATTCATGACAGTTATCACCTTTCCAGTTATGAGTTTCTCATTTCTGTAGCATCCTGCTTCTTTTCTATTTAGAGTAGACTTTTCAATATTTCTTTTAGCATGGGTTTAGAGTTGCTAAACTCTTCTAGTTTTTGCTTGTCTGTGAAGTTCTTTATCTCTCCTTCTATCCTAAAGGATAGCCTTGCTGGATAAAGTATCCTAGGCTGCATCTTTTCTTCATTCAGGACTTTGAATATATCTTGCCACTCTCTTCTGGGCTGTCGTGTTTGTGCAGAGAAATCAGCTGAGAGCTTTATGGGGGTTCCCTTGTAACTCACTCTTTGTTTTTCTCTTGCTGCTTTTAGGATCATTTCTTTATCCTTGACTCTGGCCATCTTGATTATGATATGTCTTGGTGTGGGTCTGTTTGGGTTCTTCCTGTTTGGGACCCTCTGAGCTTCCTGTACTTGGATATCTGATTCCTTCTTTAGGTTTGGGAATTTTTCAGTCACGATTTCTTCAAATAACCTTTTCAATCCCCTTTGTTCTTTCTTCCCCTTCTGGAACCCCTATTATGTGTAGATTGGCATGCTTTATATTATCCCATAGGTCCCTTATATTGTTTTCATTGTTTTTTATTTGTTTTTCTCTCAGCTGTTCTGATTGGGTGCTTTCTGTTGTCCTGTCTTCTAGGTCACTTATTCATTCCTCTGCATTATCTAGTCTGCTTTGTACAGCCTTTAGGTCAGCTCTCATCTCAGTAAATGAGTTTACTAATTGTACTTGGCTCTTCTTTATAGCTTCAATTTCATTTTTGATGTATTATATACCTGTAAACACTATCTCTTTCAGTTCCTTCAGTGATCACTCCTTTTTGGAAATCTTGATCTAGTAGGCCATCAGTGTCTATTTCATTGATTGTTCTTTCAGGGGATTTCTCTTGCTTTTAATTGGGAGTGGTTCCTCTGGTTCTTTATCTTGCTCATATCTCTCTGGCAATGTGGCTTATGGAGTACCAGTTATCTATTGTGGTCCTTAAGGAGTTTATTTATTTATCTATCTAATGCCTATGTGGAATAAAACTTAAAAAAAAGAGAGAATTTTAAAAGAATGGAGAAAAAAAGTTTGAAAACAGTGTATAATCAATAATAGAAGAGTGAGTTGAAGCAGAATAGCAATTGAGTTGAGACATCTTTTAAAAATCTTAGAAAAAGGAGAAAAGATCAAAAAACAATATTTGATACCTGTGTATAATCAATAGCAGGATAGCAAAACCAAGAGAAATAAAAATGAAATGAGGTGGATTTTTTAAAATAATAATAAAAATATTTTAAAAGAAAAATTTAAAAGGGATTAAAACTGGAGACATATACAATTGTTTAAAAAGTAAAAATTAAAAAGGTAATAGAAAATAAACAGATAATAAAAGGTAAAATAAAAAGAGAATTTTAAAAGGGAGAAAAAAAGGTTTGAAAACAGTATAATCAATAATAGAAGAGCAAGTTGAAGCAGAATAGCAATCGAGTTGAGACGTGCTTTAAAAACTTTAAATAAAGGAGAAAGGACAAAAAAGATATTTGAAACCTGTGTATAATCAATAACAGGAAATCAAAACCAAGAGAAGTAAAAATGAAATGAGGTGGATTTTTAAAAAAATAATAATAAAATATATTAAAAGAAAAATTTAAAAGGGATTAAAACTGGAAGCAAATACAACTGTTTAAAAAGTAAAAGTAAAAAGGTAATAGAAAATAGAACAGATTAAAAAAAGATTAAAAGAAAGGGATGTGTTCTCATGAACACTGTGCACTCTTAATGATTTTATCAAGAGGTCCTTCTGTCTTTGCCGTGTTTCGCGAACTCAGCTTGCTGTTTCCAAAGGCCCTCCGTTGGCACTCTCCTCTGTGCTGCTCCCAGTGCCTGTTGACAAGTAGATCGCGCCTCCTCCCAACACTGGGTCAGGTGCAGCTCTCCTTCGCTATGGGCGGGCAGGTCACTCCCCCTCCCAATGCCGCAGTCAGATGTTGCAGACTGGCCAGGTAGGCGGGCAGATCACACCCCCTTCCAGCACTGCAGTCAGGTGCTGTGTTCCTGCTGGGAAGGCGGAGGGGGGCCCACCCGCCCTCTCCTGGCGCGGGCCGCTCTGCCTGGGGTCGGAGCTCAGAAGGCGGGCTCAGGGAGGACCACGGAACCGTCCAGCCCCTGCTCTGTGCCAAAACTCAGCTCCTTGTTTGTCTCGGCGGCGCGAGTTCTCTGAGGTGCCAGGGCAGAAAGATCCTATCTGCCTCGGGCTGTAAACAAGTCTCAGTCCTGTCTAGGAGGTTGCGGAGCCCCCGGTGCAGATTCAGGGCTCGGCCCCCCACCCCCAGGGTGCTGGCACAGGAGGAGGTGGTGGCTGTGGCTGTGCCCGCCTCTCTTCCATCGAGAAGCGCCAGTAATGGCGGCGCAGGGCTGAGGAAACAAAGGCTATGGCGCCCCTCCTCCCAGGGCACACCAGCCAGTTGCTTTGCTTTTTTTCCTGTTATTTATGGGGGACCGAGGTTGTTCTGCTCCGTATCCCTTCCCGGCCATGGCGCGCGGCCCTCTGCAGTCCCCTGGGGCCGCCTCAGTGAAGCCCACCCCTCCCCCCCCCGCCCTCCACCCAGCTCGGGCGGCCCGGCCCGGCCCCAGCTGCTGGCCCGCATCTCGGGCTGGGTGTCGCGGGGACCCTTTGTGCCCATTTTACTCAGTTCTGTTGGTCAAGGGGTGCTCAGGGGCAGATCTGAGCCTCGGAGGCTCCCCCTCCGTCCCGCTGGCCTCACCATTGGAGGGGGGGAGGTTCAGCGAACAAGCGCTGTTCCCTCTTTGCCGCTCCCTCCCCTTGGGACTGGTCCTGTGCTGTTTTGCTTTTTCTTCTTTCTTTTTTCCTTTTCTCCTGCCAGATTTGTGGCATCTTTGTCTTTTGAAGAGGGCGATGTTCTGTTGGAGTTCCACACGTGCTCTGGTTGGCTGGGTGGGTCCGTGGATGTGAGTTTTGGTGTATGTATGGGAGAGGGTGAGCAACGATCATCCTTCTACTACGCCGTCTTGGCCCCAATTGCATTATCTCATTTGATCCTCACAACTCCGCATAGTAAATAGGGGTTGATATTCCCCTTTGGCCAAAGAGAGAGCAGACTCAGAAAGATGTGGTGACTTGTCCAGGATTTAGAACTCAGTTGTTCTGTGTTCTGTTCTGCTGTTCTCCCCACTCTGCTTTGATGACCATGACAATGGGACATTTTTAAAATTGATCTAGAAACAGGCTCCTTGCCTTGATTGAAAAGCCATCATTGGACCCAATCTACATTGGATTATTTGGAAGCACTGGAGCTGGGAAGAGCTCCCTGATCAACGCCATCATCCAGCAAGACATGCTGCTCCCAGTGTCTGGAGAAAGTATCTGTACATCGTGTATTGTGCAAGTGAGCTCGGGCTGCTGTGAGCAGTATGAGGCCAAAATCCACCTTCTCTCTGACCAGGTCAGTGTAGCCTGCCTCCCTCCCTCCCTCCCTCCCTTTCTCCCTTCTTCCTTCCCTCCCTCTCTCTCCTCCCTTTCTTTCCTCCTTCCTTCTCTCTTTCTTCCTTCTTCCTTTTCTTTTCCTTCTCCTCTCTCCTACAGATGAACACTATATTCCTTGTAAATGTACTTCATGGTTTTGTTGAACAAAAAGAACATAATACAGAATGAGAAAGTTCAGTAGAAGAGGGTCCTAGCTTGGGTCCTGTCATAGCTCCTTATGGGACACTGGGTGAGACATTTCCCTCCTTGGGCTCGTGTTTCCTCATCAGCAAAACAAGAGGGTTGTCTTAGACAATTTTAGATTTTCTGAGTACACTGCCCCTCCCCCTCCCCAGGCACAGTGTTTGTCACCCTTTGTTGCCGTCTTCTGTGTCTGTGTCATGAGGTGTTTGGCTCTGCTCTGCCTTGACAGGAGTGGAAGGAGGAGCTGAAGAACTTGACAAGGCTCCTGCACAGGGCAGAGGAGCCAAGCGGAGAAGAGGAGGACGCGTGGGGCAGGGATGATGCGGTGGAGGAAGCTGTTTGGAAGCTACAACTGTTCTATGGAAATGGGGCCGAAGGGAAGAACTATGAGGAGTTACTGAGGGCAAAGCCCAAAGGGAAGATCCCCGCCTCCAGAGTCATCACCCTCAAGGCGGAAGAGGTAGCTTCAAGATGTTTTTCTTTATTTTATCCCAAGTCTCAAGGATAATAGTTGAACCCCGTGCGGGGGATTTGCACGAGGTACAGTATTTTCACTGAAAATAAGTTGATACCAAAATCAGGAGGATCTTTAGCCAAGTGACTTCTCATTATTTATGGCTGTCAAATGGGAATTTTCAGTGTCCATTTGGGGAGCTTTCATGCACAGGAAAGATTATTTACAGTTACTTGAAGATTAATTAAGGATGCTTTTGGCTGCAAATAATTAAAAAAAACAAACAAACCCAGTTTAGAACGGCTTAAACAAATAGGGATTTATTCATTTTCGCACATAAGAAGTCTGGGGGCAGTTGAGTTTGTAGGTAGGTTCAGTGGCTCACCAATGTCAAGATCAACATCCCTCTGGTTCACCTGACCTTCCATCACCCTGTTGCCTCATTGTCACATAACTGCTGCTGAAGTGCTGGACTTCACAGCTAGCTTCACGGAAGGAAGACATGGATAAAAAAGTGGCACCAACCACATCTCCCCTTTCACTGGGAAATAAAAGCTTTCCCAGAAACATGCCCAGCACATTTCTGTGTAGATTTTCTTGTTCAGAACTGAGTCACACGGCCTCTCTGAGATGAAAGGGAGTCCAGAGTAAACAAGACGCAGTGTCTCCCCGGAGAAACAGTCAGGATACCTCTAGCTTGGGCGAAGGATGGGACAGAGACTGGACATGCAACAGTAGAACAACACACTCCTCCCTTTTGTAATCGAGTCGTTTTATTTAAATTAAAATTCAATTTTAAATTAAACCAGAATACATGTGGGACTAATATGCAATTTATAAATGTTATACATTTAAATACCTCATTTAGGGGAGGTGAGTAGAACTCAGTGGTGGAGCACATGCATGGCATGCACGAGGTCCTGAGTTCAATCCCCACCACCTCCATTAAGGAGAAAAAAAAACAGAACCAAAAAAACAAAAACAAAAACAAAAACAAAAAAACCCATCTCTTTTTTTCCTTGCATCTTAAAAATATTGTTCTATTTGTAAATCTGGCAATTTTTGTACTGAAAAAGGACAATTACTTATACCTGTTCTAAAATTTAATGTCCAATTATCACCTAAGTTTAATAACACAGGGAAGCCTCCTTTAAAAGTTAATGCTAAAAAAAAGAATGTATTGTACAACATGGGGAATGCAGCCAATATTTGTAATAACTGTAAATGGAAAGTTACTTTTAAAAATTGTGTAACAAAATTTTTTAAAAGTTAATGCTACTTGCATAATTAATCAACATTTCTTAGACTTTTTATGTTATAGTTCAAATTGAATATATTCAATTCGATTCTCTCAAAAAATTTGAAACACTTGACCAAGCATACTTAGAAGTCAAATGAATTAAACCTTTCAAGGCACTTAGCGCTTATGTATCTAGAAAATCAAACACATGTTGTAACCACTTCTTATATTTAAATGCATATTATAATTAAAACTATGTTCCTAATGTCTGAAACATAGACCACGCATGTCCAAAGAAACACACTGATTATAAAACTAGTTACTTTATCTGAATACACACAACTTACATGAAGGTATCAATATAATATGCATTTCTTCACTACTCTGTATTTACAAATATTCCCTCCCAGTGTTACAGATTTACCCAGTGAACAAGGAGGACAGAATTCCCATCTCCATGAGTGAGGGCACAAAGTCAGCATTTGCGTCAGGGATTCTAGACTGGGATGAAAGAATCTGAGTTTACCTCCCAGAATGGTTGCCTCAGCTGGATTATTGGGTTGAGCCCTCTTCTTATAGAAAGCCCATGCTCTCTCTTTTCTGTTTCACTTATTGTGTCTCCTTTATTTTTTAATCAAAATATTGTGAAGAACTTGTATCATCTCCTCTTTCACAAATTCTTATGATTTGATTAGAATGAATGGAATCTCTTGCTTCCTACCCAGATTGCAACAAATCCTGTGATTCAGTTTCAATTCTCCTAGGGATTTACTCAGTCTTTCTTTCAAGGCCATTCTATAGACACTTATTAACAGTGACTACCATGCAGCGCATGCCCTCTGTCCCTGGAAGGATCCCAGGGGAGACCTGCTAGCATACATAGCTGCTGGCACAAATGTGTCCTTATTCCAAGACATGTTTGGGGAAAAGCAATAGTCTGAGAATGATTCCCCATCTCACCCGCCACCATTAAAACATCCTGAAAATGCCTCCGTCAATACACATTTTATATTTGGAAGGTGCGTTTTAAAAACCTTTTAAAAGATCAACTTCAGACCAGTTTTCAATTTGGAAAATATGGTCACCATCTCTATCAATTTTCCATAGGCAGGGCTTTCTGGTAATGAAAATGTTCATATTAGCCATGTGGGAAGAATCCTGTCTCTCTTAAATTTGGGAAATTGCATGATTGACATTAATTTTGAACTGAAATGGAATTCAGGAGCTAAAATCATCATCCAGTGAAGCTGTAACTTTCCCGAAGTCCCATGCTAACTGACTTTGTTTTCTTCATCTGTCACTGAAGGGGCCTGAAATTCCGGATCTCCAGCGTCCTTTCTGGTTCTGAGTCTAGACTCTTGCAGACTGGATCATGGGCCTCCTGGTGTCCGTTGCCCAGGGCTGCTTCTTGCATCACTCAATGTGCCTTCGACGACCCTGAATCACAGCCAGTCCAGGGTGGAAGGCTGGGAGGATGTCTCGTGTGTGTGACCTTGACCTTCTTCTCCAGGCGGGGGAGCTGTCTGTCAAGCTGGACCCCTACATCCGGACTCAGAGGAGAGGCTGGGATGGAGAATCAGCTGAGACACACATCTGGCCCCTGATCAAACTTGTGGAAGTGACTCTTCCCAAATCAGAGCTGATCCCAGAAGGGGTTGTGCTGGTGGACATTCCAGGCACAGGCGACTTCAACAGCAAGAGGGATGAGATGTGGAAGAAGGTGATTATCTTTTCTTTGGCTTCATTCGCTCTCCCCTCAGTGCTAACACTCTTTCTAAAGCAACAAAGAATGCTCTGCTTTCAGTTTAAGGGATTCTATGAGCTCATTGGAGTTGAATTCTTCTACTTTTCTGCACTCTCAGCCTCAGGACAATGGCAGGATATGGGTGGCCAGGGACAACAGAGATGGGGGGGGATCAGGAGATAGACCTGGTAGCTGGAGCAAGCATATGTGACATCTGAGAAGGACCAGCCTGAGGGTGAGCAGAGGCAACAAGAATGGGGGGCGGGGGGAGGCCAAGATTTGGGTACAAAGCAGAGAAGCCAAGGAACCAGCAGCTACTGAACAAGTCACTGCAGGACCACGGATTCTCTGTTCTAGGGAAACTTTACATTCAGCAGATTTGTGCTAAATGAATGACTGCAGGCTGGGGAAGCTCTGTGACTGTGGTTTTCAGTAAAGATCAGGATGGTAGCTTACAGATAATCAGCCTATGCCCTGATTTTACGGACAAGGAAATGAAGGCTCAGAGACAGGAAGTAATTTACCCAAGACCACACAGCTACTGAGCGGCAGAACTTGAACCAGAGAGCAGATTCCTGCTTCCCAGGGAGGCTCTGTCTCTCCCCCCTGAGGATGTCCCACCTCCTAAGTTCTTGCAGTCGGGGGCTGCCCAGCATCCTTCTCCGTGGTGGTCTGCTTAGGCCTGGCCAGGACAGCCCTTGTTTCTGCAGGATCTCAGCCTTTGGAGTAGCATCGCCAGCCCCCGCTAGTTCCAGGCCAGGCCCAGGGAGTGACAGCGTGGGACCAGTCTCTCGCAGGTTGGAGCCAGGGTTGCTGCCAGTTCAGATACAGTGGGCAGCTTATCAAAGGCCACTTAGAACAGAGGAGCCAGCAGATCTGACTCAGAACACTGGCTCTGAGGAGGTCGGGCTGAAGCAAAGCAATGGTTCCCAGCCTGCTCCGTTTGGCCTCAGCTCCCCTGCATTCTTGTGGTTTTGTGATATCCTCTCACAAGAAATCACTAAAGACTCCCCTTTTTCCAGGGAGCACAGAACACAGTGCCCCTCCCCCATCCCTCCAGTTTTAGTTTAGGTACCTTCCCTAAACTAAAGCAATTCGGAACACAGACATCCCTCTGCTGCCACCTAGAAGTCCTGAGACTTCAGGCGCATCACCCGACCTCTCGGAGGCCCCTTCTCATTGCGGGGGTGGCAGGGGACCACCCCCCTCGCTCCTAAGTCCAGGGACTCTTGTCTCAGAGATGGGCTTAGTGTGTTTTCTGCGACTCTCCCATTACCAAATCCTGGCGGTCAGGAGCTTTGTGTAGGGCCTGAAACTTAACCACCGCAACCTTTATGATTGCCATTCTCTTCTCGTGTTAATAAGCATTTATGAAGCACCTGTAGTTTACCAGGGCCACGGGGAATATAAAGGAGAAAGAGGCCCCACCCTAGAGGAGGAGCTGGCAGCCTGGAAACCTACCTCCTTCCGAACCCAACTGAAGAGCCTGAAGCTTCCTTATATTGGCTATAAGTTGGGAAGAGGGAGGGAGTGATTGGCTTAATTTTCCTGCCTGAATTTGGGTCCATCCGCAAAAGAGGAGGTTGAGGACCCATAGTTGTGTGGCCTTAAGTGGGTCCTTTGCTCCTGGCGGCCTATTATGTACTTTTTCTAGAAAACAATGAAGTTTGTTTGACTCTAGAGATGGATGCTTTCAAAAGCATGGTCCATGAAACCCAGAGATTCCTGGGCAGAGGGTGGGGGGCGCACAGCAAACTCTCCAGCCCCAATTCAACTAAAGCAGTTCTGGTTTTAAAAATCGAGTTTGGCAGTTGGAGTCTTTCTTTCATTTGGAAAAGTCTCCACTGCTACAAACGAGTTAGGAACCTCCTGCTCTAGGCCCAGGCTTCTCAGCCTCAGCACTTCTGACATGCTGGGGCCAGACAGTTCTTTGTTGTAAGGGCCATCCTGGGCATTGCAGGGTGTTGAACCCCATCCGTGGCCTCTAACGACTAGCGCCTCCTCGAGTCAAAACAACTTAAAATGTCTCCAGACATTGCCAAGTGTCCTCTGGGATACAAAATCGCCACTAGTTAAGAGCCGTGGCTCTAAAGCAAATAATGATTTAATTGGCAACTCGCAAACGTGTCACCACTTTTATGTGCAAAGTGCTGTTCTGCGGAACCACAAATAAACTCAATCCTGGAGTTTGACCAGCTTTTCCCTTACACGGAGAGATGAGACGAGTGAAACAATGCAGTAAGGGAAATGTCACAAGGCAACCCATGATTTCTTGTCACATGAAAGTTGCATATTTGATTAAGCAATATGTGTGCTGTCGGTCATTAAGTGGTCATTTCGGGTTCACTGGCCTTTGCAACTTGAATCAGACGGTTCCTGGCTCCCTGCTGCCACCTGGCGGTAGTATCATGAATATGCAGGGGCTGTCAGACCTCAAAATGATGCCCCGGGGGGTGATAGCTTTGACCAGCGCTAGTCCTGGAAAACAATAGTTTTCCATAGATGACAGCTGGGGTAAATCAAGCCAGTGATAGATCGAGGGTTAGAGGTCTGATTTTTTGAGTTCTGTCAATCACTAATGCCACAAATATCTATGAAGCCTCTAGGATGGGTCAAGCACTGTGCTTGAAATGATGTGGATTCCAAGCCGAAAGGTGCCGCCCCTTCCCATCAGGTCCTCACAATCTAGGGGGAAGAAGGTGCAGAGTGCCGGCCCCGTACAATAACTCTGTCTGAGAAGTATTAGGGCAGGTGTGTCCAGGTGCTGGAGGGTGCAGAGGAGGGGTGGCCAGCTCATCCTCGGGTGGCCCTTGGCAGTCTCGAGGGGCAAATGGAGTTCAAACAGAGGTTGTGAGAAGTACAAAAGCCTCAAGAGAGAAATGAGCAAGTTCCGTCTGAGAAACTGTGGGACGCTCGCGTGGCTGCTGCGTGGAGGGTGCGGTGGGGAGTGGTGAGAGAAATGGGGCAGACCTGGAGGATGTACCTGATTCATTACGGAAGCACATCCTCTAAAACCAAGGCACCATTTATGCTCTTAAACATACCGTGGTTTCATCTTTCACAGACCATCGATAAATGCTCAGTAATCTGGGTGATTAGTGACATTGAGAGAGTTTCTGGAGGGAGAGCCCATGAAGACCTTCTGAATGAGAGCATCAAAGCCTGCCAAAGGGGGTTCTGCAGGGACGTGGCCCTGGTGGTCACCAAGACCGACAAGCTCCACCTGCCGGAATACCTCAGGTACCGCGCCTGGGCTTGCAGGGATGTGGGCTTTGTTCCCGGGTCCCCACCACCGTAGCTTTGACAGAGCTTTGACCCCGGGAGATTGTGGACCTCGGGAAGTGACTCTTGGGGAGGAAAGAGAAGTCTGGATGACTTCCTGGGGCACCAAGACCCTTGGGCGGATTGTCTTGGGAATATTCCAGAGTGGCTGCTTAAGGCCTCACAGGCTGTGCTCTGCACAGCTCAGGGGATGTCACTCACACAGCTGAGATGCAAAGAGCAGCTCCTGGCTTTGGACCGTGTGATGGAGCTGCCCACCCCCACCGATGCTGAAAGAGCAGGCGCCCACAGCCAGCAGGCCCTCCTGTGACACTGTCTGGCCCCGTAAAGCTTTGAAGTGTCAGATCCTGTTTCAGATTTGTCTTCTTCTGAGATTTTAAATCCATTTGGAGCAAGGTTCTCAAAGTTTTAGAACTTTGGCCAAAAGTAAACGCATTCTTACGGAGATACACTCTAACCAAAAATAATGAAAGGTAAACATTTTAGAGTTTAACAGATGTTAATACACGCTGATTTTCCATGCAGATCTCTGTTTCCCCTATAACTAGGAAGACCGTAACTTATCTTCTATACTGGGATATCCTGAAAGTGAAAGAGGGTGTTATTAACCTTTACAGCGGATCAGCAGCTATAAACTGGTCTGTCCTGGGTACACGGGACGTGTGGTCATGGAATATGTCCTGGTTGGTGCTTCTCTGCTCTACCAAGAGTGTCTTCACCTGCCACCTCTGCCGTGTCCTTCCCTCCTCCCCCACTGAAACATGAGTCTGCTGGCTCCAGTTCACTTAGCAGAGAAAACCTCGATGAAGAAGTAGCCTTAGGCTTCCCCCCAACTTCTTGCTTTCATGGTCTAGGTTGGAATTTCAGCTTCATTTTTTGCCCCTCTGTGAGTCTGTTCACCCCAACCTCTACTGCAGAATAGCATCTCAAGCTCTCCCTTTCCAGTGCCAGCTCTAAAAGTGAACATAATTCAGTCGAATTTATTAAACGTTTCTTGAACCCTGTGGTAGGGGCAGCAGATTCCAAGAGGCACGTCGCCTAGTCCTTGAGGCCGCTATCTTAAAAGAGGGTGAAAGGTGATATGGAAAAGAAAAGCAAAGTGCTGTGGGACACAGATAGCGAGGGCTGCATTTTGACTGGGCCGGGGGTGACATCCCAGAAAATCCCACCCATGACAAAATATTGAGAAATAAATTTTTTTTTTGAATAGACACTGGAGGTTAGATCAGAGAGAGAGTATTGGGACTGAAGAAAGAGCTTAGGCAGAGGATTACAGGGATGGCACTGAATGCTGCTTTCAGGGAAAGTCAAGACCCCTGTGACACATCATGAGTTAAGTAATTGTTACATTTTTCATTTCAGGGAAAGAAAAGTGGGAAATGTAAGTATGAACTAGTTATTTTCACTTTAAATTGTTTTTAAAGCTCTATTGAGATGTAATTGATAGACCAAAAAAAAAATCACACACATTTAGTGTAAATATCTTGATGAGTTTGGGCTACTTATTTTTAAATACTACTTTTTATGATTAATATTATATAATTCGAACACATGCACATTTGTCTGGGCCAAATGAAGATGTGCCCCCAAAATGTGCATCTTATCTCTTCATCACTCTTGATAACCCTGGACTCTTTGCTGTGTTTTTCTTTCTTTTCACAATCTAGCAAGCTATTCAAAGTCAGCGAGAGGCTGTTCTAGAAAGAAATACAATGATAAAGCTACAGAGGAATAAAATGCTCAAGGAAAAACTAAAGGTGAGTTTACAAGTTCTTCTATGGATTTTTCTGCCTTTCAGCCACCTCAGATTTTGAGAAACAGACGTGGATTTGGTCTTATGCGGCAGCAAGGGCAAAAGCTTTGGAGTAGACATTTTGGACTTCATCCTGTTGATGAATAAGTTTGTGACCTTAGGCAAATTACTGCACCTCTCCGAGCCTCCATTTTCTCATCTGTCAAGTGGGGAAATAATAATATCTACCCCCTGTGACTAGTGGAAGGATTGAACGAGCATATGGTCTACTGAGAAACACGTGCATTTTTGAGGTGTGCTTGGCTAGAGAAATGAGTGGGGGCTGTGGGAACACAGGCCAAGGATGCCCCAGTCACGCTGGCAGGTGGGGAAGGCAGTGCTGAGAAGTTCAGGGAAAACTTCTCAGCCTCTCGAGCAGAATTTCAAAGAACCAGTAGTCTTCAGTGACGTGAAGTAGGGGAAAGGGCATTCGAGACAGAGGGAAGAGCCCGACTGAAACAAATCTGCTCTGCTTGGTGAACTGTATGCAAGCAGTTTTGAATGAATGGCTCAGGAAAGGGCATATGCAGGCATCTTGGGAGATCAGACCTGAGCTGTACTTTTCAAGCTTGAGTAACTGTTCTGTGGGAATTTGGGTGTTTCCTTAAAATTATTTTGATTATTCTGTCACAAAAAGAGGCACAAACATAAAACTCCTTCCTCTAATAGTCTGGAGCAGCTATAAAACTAAAACCAATTTGAAGATAAAATATAGACAAAACAACATAAGGGTTATATCACAGTCAGTATGTGAGAGATGGGATGGTTTGGCCAAAACTAAATCTTTTCGTTTGTTTTGGGTTTTTTTTGTGATTTCTTTTTTTTTTTAAATTGAAGTATAGTTAGTTTACAATGTTGTGTCAATTTCTGGTGTTCAGCATAATGTACATATACATACATAATTGTTTTCATAGGCTTTTTCATTGTAGGTTTCTATGAGATATTCAATACAGTTCCCTGTGCTACACAGAAGAAACTTGTATATTTATTTTATGTATAGTATAGTATCTGCAGATATCAAACTCCCATGAAACTAAATCTTTAGTGCTGAGTTTAATAGTGAAAACATACAGCCTTACGTCTGGCTCTATATTTAATTGCTTTTTCTGTTTTGACTCCAATTCTATTGATGCGGAACGTGTCTGTGGGACAGTGTGGAATTAAAAATTTCAACGCTTTTTCTTTCTAATTCAGAATAATCAGACGTCCGACTTAAGCCAAAGTCTTCTACCAAGCTATTCTTGAACGCTGGTTTTAATGAGGCAATAACTCAGTAAAGCTGTGTCCTTATTCTCTTTAATTGTTCTTGTTGGCAATAAAGAAACATGCATTTTATGAGTACCTAATTATGTTTCTGGAAGCGGAAACATAAAATACCTCAATACACAACTCACAGTTATATGTATTGCTAATAAATGTGGCCGATTGGTGTGTACGAGGTAGGGTCTCATCTGATTCTTAATTCCTTGACATTTAAGACCATCATGTGCTTCCATATTGCTCTGCATTCAACAGTGTGTGATGACTCACAAACCACCCGGCGGAGAAACTTGCACTTATAAATTAAAAAGAAAATTTTTTATTGAAGTAGAATTGATTCACGATGTTGTATTGATGTCAGGGGTACAGCAAAGTGATTCAGCTATACATATATATATATATCTATGTGTGTGTATGTGTGTGTGTGTAGAACTAAATCACTTTGCTGTACACCCAACACTAACACAACAGAGGAGCAACAGAGTTATGTTCTTTTTCAAAATGGATCTTGGTATGTATATAGATATATATATTCTTTTTCAGATTCTTTTCCATTGTATGTTATTACAACATAACAGTTCTCTATATAGTAGGACCTTGTTGTTTATCTATTTTATATACAGTAGTGCGGATCGGTTAATCCCAAACTCTTGAAACTTGCACTTTTATAGGACCTCTGCCCAGTGTTGTGTTATGCTCTGCTAGTAAATGTTTTAAAAAATCAGCTCTCTGTTAAAAAAAAAAAGGGGGGGGGGCCAGTTGGTAGCATTTGCCGATTCCTATGGTGTAAATGCTCCCTTGCCAGTTTCAA